GGATGTATCTGAACAACGTGTATGTCCAAATACATTCTCAGGATTGAATTTTTTTTATGAGATGGAAGGAGTAGTCACTGACTGTGCTTGCCGCCAGACTATAAACAACACCACAGAAGTTGGAGACAGGCAATCAAGCAATGCAGCCACGCAGTCACCTAGTCGTCACCATCAGGGGCAGATCACCGTGAGTATCAGAGGCTCAAGCTCTTATTACCTAATAGGAGCTTCATTGGTTGACTTAATAAAAGCACATATTAAAATTTGAATTTTCAACTGAATTTTAGAGTTGATTTTAAGATATTTTCAGCATAATTTCTTTTTAGCGTCGACTTTTAAGTCGATACGAATAAACATATAAAAATTTTATCTATAAATCAATTTTTATTTCCTAATAAATCGTTTTGTCGTATTAGGAAATATAGGCAATCGATGATGCCCTAAATCCTTGTGGAGAGACGAAGAAAGGGAATTTGGAAGAATAAGGCCCTAAAAAACTTTTGCGTGTCACATCGAACGTTTGACCAGATATCGTAAGTGGTTTTTAGACACGGATGAAAAAACTAATTTCATAACTCACCTGAAAACCGCGAGATAAATTTATTAAGCCTAATTAATCCGTCATTAGCACATATGGGTTACTGTATCACTTATGGCTAATCATGGACAAATTAGACTCAAAAGATTCATCTCACGATTTCCATGCAAACTGTACAAATAGTTTTTCTTTTTATCTATGTTTAATGTTCCATGTATGTGTCTAAAAATTTAATGTGACGTTTTTAGGAAAAAAATATGGGAACTAAACAAGGCCTAATATGAGATATACACGGTTTATTTTTGCCCCTAGTCAGTGTTTATTTTTGCTTTTTTTTTTCCCTGAGATATACACGGTGGAATGACGTGGATGATCACTCATGTCATGGCCTCATGGGGTCCAGGCCTGAACCCCACAACTCGCTGAACTCGCTATACGGCAAGGCGACGCTGCCCACCTAACGTGCCAGATACCACGAACCGTCTCGCCCAACCTCCCCCACGGGGATACGTATGATATGTGTGCGCCCCCTCCTCCTGCCGGCTGACGCGACGGAACGTGAGTCCGTCACGCGTGGCGAACTAGTAGAGCGTTGATGTCATTTTTAAACTATACTACCTCTCTCATACACTTTTAGCTAATTTATGACAAAATAACAGGATTGAAAAATAACCACAGCGATCTTATTTAATGAACACAATAAATTCACACATTTCATATATAAAATTAATTAAAAGGAAGTTTGAGATAATTAAGGAAACATTTTTAGATTAAAAGGAAGATTATGGGATGGAAGGCTTGGAGATCATAAGGAAAGATATTTAGATTAATCAATTTGTTAGGTCACACGTGATTAGAATTATAATTTTTGTGGGATAAAACCTGAGAGCCAAAATTGTAATTTATATGGGACGGAGGTAGTATCATCGTTTATTAAGATTGATAAATATATGATAATATTTAGTTTGTTATCAATTATTGGTTATGTTTAAAGAATTTTAACAATATCACATTTAGCCTAGAGTAAATTACAGTTGGGCCACCTTTTATTGCCAAAGTTTCACTTTGGACCATCCCTAAACTAATATTTTCACTTTGGATCGGGTAACTTTGCCATATTTCCAGTTTGAACCACCCAACTCTCTTTACTATTCATGTTTACCCTCCATTCTGGTGAAGATATGGCCTGCATATAGACGGTGAAGTTCACCGATGTATCGAAACCGATTTGATTGAGATTGTTGATGGGCGCTGAAGAAATTGTTTAGGATGATCTAAACCAAAAAAATGGTGAAATTACCCGGTCCAAAATGAAAAGATTGGTTTAAGGGTGGTACAGAGTGAAACTTGGATAATAAAATATATGGCCCATATTGCAATTCACTCCACCTTTTCATTACCAAAGTTTCACTTTGGTCCACCCTTTACCTAATATTTTTACTTTGGACTAGATATTTTTGCCTTCTTTGCATTTTGGACCACCCAAACTTTCTTCGCGAGCATATTAACAGCCTCAAGCTCATCGGCACCTTCATGCCGATGATCTCCCCTGTTTAGGTGTAGGTCACATCTTCTGCCGGAGGAGAGGTTGGACATGGCTAGACAAAAGAATTATGGTGATCCAAAGTACAACAAAGGAAAAAATACCTAGTCTAAAATGAAAAGATTGGTTAAAGGGTGGTCTGAAGTGAAACTTCGGTAATAAAAGGTGGTCCAAAGTGCAACTCACTCTTTAGCCTATTATATTAAACTTGGTAATGTTACCAATTTGCTAAATTTTTAACAATATCAATTTTTTAAAAAATTAAAAATGACTACAAAAGTGACAAAACTTAAGGGTGTGTTCGCTGTTCCAGGTTGGGGAATTGGAATAGTACGCACGGAAAATAGAGCGGTTCATTATCGCGTGATTAATTAAGTACTTCCTCCATTTCATAATGTAAATCGTTTTATCATTTCCTACATTCATATTGATGTTAATTAATCTAGACATATATATCTATCTAGATTCATTAACATCATTATGAATGTGGAAAATACTAGAATGACTTACCTTATGAAACGGAGAAAGTATTAGCTAATTTTTTTAAAAAAAGGATTAATTTGATTTTTTTAAATAATTTTCATATATATATATATATTTTTAAAAAAAACACAGTTTAGCCGTTTGTAAAAAAACATGCGTGAGAGAGGTTGGGAAAATTTGGTGCCGAACACACCCTCAGTTTTTCTAGCCGCGCGCGGGGCGGCAACGACGAACGAACGGCTCGCGCGCGGTGGGTGGGTGAGGCGGTGGCCCGCGAGACACGGCGCCGGCAGCTGCCGCGTGCCCGCGTATAGGCGCGGCCCCCTTCCGTGCGAGAGGGCGCGCGGCGTGATCGCGTCAAACCTCTCGTGTGCCGCGCCTTTGCCGCCGCCGTCGCGATCGAAGCCAAGCCGAGCGCGAGGGGAGCCGCACGGCAGCAAGGGCACACCGCACACGGCTCCACCATGCTCGCCCAGCCACCACTGTCACGCACGCGCGGCGTTTTGTTCTACGTACGTGTTCCATACGCGCGCAGAGACAGAGACGGAGGGAAACTACGGCCCTGTTTTGATTCCAATTTTTCCGTCACATCAAATTTTTCTACACACATAAATTTTTAAATTTTTCGTCACATCGTTCTAAATTCTTCAGACTTTCAATTTTAGTATAGAATTAAACACAACCTACATTGATCTTAGTTCTCCGTAAAGTTCCATAAAGTTTGTAGTCCTGTTACAAACTTTACGAGTACGCAGGAACTACATTGATGTGTGATATGCGTGTTAACGTGAGCACCACAAATTTAGAAGTTTTTGGTTGACATTCACACTCTACCGCAGCTAATCACTTGTTGTGGCGACATTATTTCTACTTGTGAACAATGCTAAAAAGTTTTACATTATAAAACGGGGAAAGTACGAGTAGGAAGAGGACTGCAGGAACTACATTGATGTGTGACATCCGTGTTAACGTGAGCACCACAAATTTAGGAGTTTTTGGTTGACATTCACACTCTATCGCAGCTAATCACTTGTTGTGACGATATTTTTTCTACTTATGGAGAATGCTAGAAAGTCTAATAAATTAGGTCTAACCTGTTATTGTCTCGGAAAGATGTTACTACCAAATGAACTAGATATTTGGCCGAAAACCAAACAGAAAACAATCACTTAAAACACCGATGAACAGTAAAACAAACCAACGAGGAAATTTTGGCACGTCGCTTTCTGCAAGGGCGAGACAATCCATCGACCAGTCCTGCGTGGCGACGTGCTGTACTGCGCTGTTCGGCGGCCAACATGCGTAGGGAGGACAGCACGCCACAAGTCCACAACCAAAACACTACTACTCTTACCTCTATCAACTTTTTCTTATATTTATCGGCCAAAATTTAAATTTTTAATCTTAAATTTAGAGCTGATTTAGATTTTTTTTCATGAAAGTTTATTTTTCAGCCTTTATTTTTAAATCGCTAAAAACATGTATATAAAAATTTTATTCATAAATTATTTTTGGTTTGTAAATATACCGTTTTGGTTTATTTCATGAATAAATAAGCAAAACAATGGAGCCGACTACTACTCTATCAACGCTAGCTGAGCAAATGGACGGACGGTCACGAGGAAAAGTATCTCTATCAATCTCAGCCCCACCAACCTTGTGAGGAGGTGACATGGGCCAAACGGTCAGCAACTAAAGGACAGGTGAAAAAGCCAGCTTTAACGCTGACGCCTGTGGCTGGCTGGCTGCTGCTGCTGCCCTCAACCTCAAGTGGCGTAGCCGTTCAAGATGCTTTTCTTTTTCCTAGTGGAGTAGTATATCTTTTCTTTTTTTAGGGAAAATCCAAGAGAGCCGGTATAATAGTAAGCTATAAGCTAATTATAAATATATTTTTAAGAGATAAAGGAAGAGAGAGTAGCAGCAGGTTACATATCTATAACCAGCTGCAGCACGGACTTCAAGACGTAATGTGTGTATAACAAATAAGACCAAGTTAGTAAGCAATTATTATATGAATTTGCTATTACATTGGTTATAGATGATTTAGAGCTAGCAGTGGATTATACTATTATACTTGCTCTACGAAGAAGAAAAAAAAAGAAAAGATCAAGTGGATTTTTCAGAAACCTCGAAAGGAAAATGTGAATGAATGCCAGTCCAGTTGGATCGTAATGGGGTAAAGAAATTTCATAGGCAGGGGCCAAGGAAGGGTAATGATGCCGTAAAGAGCACGCTCACATCGTTCCAATGAAAAATCTCTTCGACGATTTCGTTGTTGACCCATGCTCCGCTCGAGAGATATTTAACCATTTACCATATTTAGATGTGGCAATTAACTTTTTGTCACTGAACTCACATGTCATAGACATATGTGGACCCACATATCATTGAGATAGGGATGGTAAATAGTTATTTATCAAATCTAAAAGTGGCAAATAGTTAAAAGCCCCTTTGCTGGAGCAATATGTTTTTCGCTGTCAAATTTGTACAACCTAAAATGAAGTCTACTAGTGGTGGCTTTCAGTCATCTGCAATCACTCTCACACACACACACATCAGGATTTTTTTTTCTCACCTCCAGGTTTTCAAGCTAAAATCTGCCTTGTCATCTCTTCAACAAACTATGCTTTGCATCGCATCATCCGCACATCAGAACGATACAATGGAGAAGCTAGCTTAACCCCCATAAACTGGGCATGAAAAAAATTCTGACAATAGAACAGAACAGCACAAAGATCATTGGCAATGGCAGTAAGAATGGCAATGGCTCTCCTGCGTCGAAGACGACGACGACGACGACGGTCTGCAGGGGCTCGTCGGAGTCCGAACCACCGGCAGGCCACAGGCTCGCCGGAGCTCGTCATACCGGCGGAGATCGAAATCCCGGGCGTGCATCAACCGCTTCTGCTTCGCCGCAAACCGGCTCTCGAAGAAGCCCTCGAAGGAGGGCTCCTTCTTGGTCCGGAGGAAGAAGGTGTAGCCGGCCATGAAGTACATGGAGGTCACATAGAAGCAGATGGGTTCCATGACATCCCATGAGAGCTCCCAGAATGTGAGCCTCATGAAGCCGGCAGTCTGGACGACGAGGTATGCCAGCCCCAGCCAAAGCTCACGGCGCACCTGGAGCGCCGCGGTGCGGTCGATCTCGACCTTCTGCGCCTCCATGGCCTTCAGCTCTTCCCTTGCTGGGCCATCCAAGGCAATGGGTTGCGCTCTCGGAATCGGTATGGCCTTCTCGATGGCTTTGACAACCTGCAATGGTGAATAGAAAGAACAAAAAAACATTTCGAAAATTTACTTGGTTGCTCTTCTTCTCAACAGAGAACCATCAAAGAAAGAGCGATGTTCGCAAGAGAAGATTACAGCCATGAAATGCGAATCAGTTTTCAAATGATTAAATTTCCAAAAGGAAGTGCAAGATATAATTGTGTTTCCAACACATTGCAAATGTGTTTTCAAAAGTAAAAGAATTATTTGATACTGAAAGAAAAACCAATATTGTGTATATTGTTAGGACAATAATGTTAAATTGCTTAAAGAAAAGAATCCCCACGCCGAGCCAAGAGGATCAGTCTGTGCAGGATAAGATTGTTTAGTTGGACAAGGAACATATGCCGCAAAAGCCTCAACCTCTATTTTTATACTTATATGAACAGCAAAAAAGACTGTAAAATAAGAACAGTTTACTTCCAAGACTAAAACATGCAAAAAAGATTTTCCCAAAAACATCTATGCCATGCCCACCACCACCACTTGCATGGGGTAAATTGCCAAATTGTCTGACTAACCGCACTTGCATGGAACAAAACAAACAGTAAATAGTACAAATTATGCTGCCTACGAATGCTGTGACCTACTCTAGATCAGATGGCATGTGACAGTGTCCCCCTTTACTTTGGCTAGGTCAGGACATAAGAAAGTAGATGTGTCATAACCTGTTAGCCGTCCATTAATCTTCTAGTATTATTCTAATGTGATAAAGATGTAGCTTATGTATTCAACAGATATTAAAAAAAAAGGGCTTCTTTACTCATGATAGTGTTGATTACTTGATTTCCAACTAGTAAAGTGAACGGTAGCAGCAATAGAAGCAAGCATGTAAGAATGTCAAAAAGTAAGAACAGAAGTAAGAATTTGATTCTGAAAAGTCTGCAACACTGCTAATTATCTATGCTCCTAGGTCCTTGAATTCACTCTTAAGAATTTCCAATTAATTCACATTTTATGGTTGTCTATTCTCTAACTTCAGGTGATTCTCATTTGCTGAACCAAAACTAGAAATTCTTCCAAAGCAACTTTTACCAAATAGTAAGCCAATAACAAGGACACCACTATGAGCTATCCTGCGTTATAAACCAGAAGGAGCTGATCTAAAAATAACATACAATTCTAGCAAATGCACAGAAAAGGTTATGGAGCAAAAAGGGAACCACCTAGTAGCACAAAATTGTTTGATATGTAACTAACTTTCAGTTTTGGCCCTCAAATTTGTTGGGAGGTATCACAAAGTTAAAAGGTACTACATCAATACTCCACCACCACTGGCATGTGATGGGGAATGCAATGGCATCTTAGATACTGAATCCTCTGCCATGCAATTCAAACATCATTTTTATACTATCAGTTGTGCAGCCCATGCCCTGTAAGAGAGACCAAATATGTCTCCAATTGTTGTCCTCATGACATGGCATTTAAATTGCATGGTAGAAAATCCAATAGAATACTAACTATGAACATTTCCATAAATGATATAATATCAGGGAACATAAAAGTTTTGAGTATGTGCTGGATGATGACTATTAATATGCATCCTTCCTCCAAAAATTTTGGCTGCCACAGGTTAATTCTCCTCATGTTCATTCATCGGAGATCAAGATTAAAATTATCACTAATGTCAATTAAGTTCTCTCCTTTTCTTTCTTGCTCCCTCAGGTATAAGATTTGAGGGGCTAAAGAATAGTTTTTTTTTTTAGTTTTGTTTTTAGTCGATCTGGTTTTGTGAGAAGAAAAGACACTCCCATGTCGGACGGAGTAAAAATCCCCAAACTTTGTGTGTCAACAACTGCTCTTACTACCGTTTAAGAACAGCGCCCTTTCTTTCATTCTTTTCCTGTTGGGAAACATACAAAGAAACACGCGGAAAATCTCATCAGATCTCGACACTTCTGAATTCTCAACCCGGTCACCCGGAAACAAAAAAAAAAGAAAAAAAATAACTGCAAGGAGAGAGAAAAGATACGAGAAACCAGCGTGTATTTCTCTCATGACATGCTAACTGCAAAATCAAAAAAAAAAAAACTAGAACAAAATTGGGAGAAGAGACGGATCAAGCAAGCGGCATTAAATTAAGGTGGTGGATTTGAAGCTGATGAGATGGGGGGGTGGATCGTACCATCTCGGGCCTGAGGAAGACGGTCTTGCCGAGGACGATGACGGATCCGGACTCGTCGAGCGCGCGCGCGACGGAGGCGCCGGACTCCGCGCCGGCGGCGTCGCAGCAGAGCCGGAGGAACTCGGCGTACGGCACGGTGCCCGCGCCCGACGCCCGCAGCCTCGCCCGCGCCGCCTCCATCTGCGTCGCCCGCAGCACCTTCCTCGCCTCCTCCACCGTCAGCCCCGCCACCGCCGACGCCGACGCCCGCTCCTCCCTCGCCACCGTCGGATGCGTCTGCGGCGGCGCCGGGGGGACGAGGCCGTCGAGGTTGATGCGCGGGAACGCGGCGCCGAGGTCGCGGATCCGGTCGGCGAGGGGGATGAACCCGCGTCGCTCGGGCGGCACCACCGGCACCGCCGCGGGCCGGAACGCCGTCTGCTCCTGCATGAAGCGGCGGAGCCCGCACGCCGCCGGCGGCGCCCGCGCCGCCCTCCTCATCAGCGCCGCCGCCATTGCAACCTCTCTCTTCCTCTCTCCTCACGGAGCTCGGAAATCGAGGGAAGCAATGGCAACAAAAAATGGGGGGAAGAAGAAATCGAAACGCACCCGGTTCACGCAGCTCGTTTGGTGATTTGTGGGGGAAGACGAAGTGAGGGGGGTGGAGGCTATTTATACTCCCCGCGATTCGGACGCGGCCCGGTCGGTCGGAGTCGGAGTCTGGCCCGGTCGCATCCGGTCGGAAGGTTTGGGTTTTTGGATGAGTACGAAAGTTTGTTCGAAATTTTGCCAAATTTCGGCAGGGCCCTTCGTACCGTCGGTGACGACGGACATGTTCACATTACTGCCACTTTTAACATTACCAATTTTTGAGTAACAAACTAAACATAATTAAATATTGGTGATTCTGGGTTTTTCCTCTTCCCAAAAGCTTTTTCAAATTTGCGTAAGGCTTTAAACCAAAGGGTCCAACATGACTAAATCTGGTAACACTAAAATGTTGCTAAATTTTAGTAAGGTTTTCAGCAAGGAAGTGAACAAGCCCAACATCTCGCTCAATTCGTCGAAGTTCGTACGGTGATATTTTGACACAGGAAACATGGGGAAGTCATGTGTTATACTCCATTGTAGCCAGCAATTTTTGAAAGCCTTTAATTGAGTATTACTAGGGGATTATAACACCTATTTTTCTTGTATTGATTACTTGCTTTGAATGAAATTTGGTAGTCGTAGTACATTCCAGATAGGCCGGAGCGGAACGTGTTTCTTGCTTGTTCTGCCAGTTATACATGACTTGTATTATTGCGGTACGTTTTGGCATCGTGTTTTTGTTGGTCTAGTACTCCTATATGATTACTGATTTTTTTTTGGTATGTTTCCACTTGGAAATAAGAAATTTCCTCATGGATATGTGCTTGGTTTTTTTTTCTAAAAAAAATGTCACTATTGAGCCGAGGTGAGGTAATCGTCATTTGTACGAGCATCCCCACATTCACACGTGTCAGAATTTGTGTTTATCCTTTTTTCTAGATGAAAATGGTTTGTGTTTATCATTACATCCTTGTTTATTGACGGTAAGGTCGATTTGAACATAGGAGTTTCACACTATTCATGTTTAAATGAATTTTAGTTTTATTTCAAATGCTATAATTTTTCAAAATGTATGATTGAACTAGTTATCCGTGATAGTTTTCTCCAAATTGTTCACTAAATTATTTCGTTCCAAATAAGGCATTTGTAAGAAAAACAGTTCGGTTTTCGGAAAATGTTGAAATTAATCCGTCCTCGTTTTAAACGGGTTCTAATAAGTGGGTAGGTACGTAGCAAAAGGCCGTGAGCTTAAAAAAAAGTGAAAAGCATATACATATTAATACATATCCTACATAGTCCAAAAGAAGCTTTGGATTAAAAATATATGCACTTAGATAAGTATGGATTGGATCACCAGCTCCCGATGACGATGAAGTGTAGGGAATATTTCGTAAAATTATGTTGCTTCTTGCAGGGCGCATGAAGAGCCTCAGCCCCACATGACACAACTACACGATGAAGAAGAAAAGTCCAACAAAAAAAAAGATTTGAGCATGAGCACACCTTACGCATATACAAATCCAAAAACATCCGGACGCGCGATTGCATGAATCAAAACTTCACATCAAAAACATTATATTGATTTATATATAGAGAGATACTAGAAAAAAAAAGTCTCGCGCGTTGTAATAGGTAAATGTTATTTTAATCTTATTTTTTATACGGTTTAGCTAAAGTAAAATTCACTGTATAAATTTGTTTAGATATTGTTTTTATAAGTTAGTATGAGAGTTTTTCTAAAGAGATTTCTCATACGACTCAATCTATATTTCAAAAAACGAACAAACTTAATATTCGACTCAAATACAAATATGTAATTTCAAAAAACGAATAAAATTAAAAACCGATTAAAGATGGATAACATACCAGAGATAACATACCAGAGTGCCTGTAACAATAATTTTAATTTTTATAACAGTAGGGATATATCACTTTATGCCACGAGTTAATGTGAACTTGTCAATAGGCATGTGTCCTAGTTGCTGCGGCACAGTGCTGGCTGCTTTTTAGCCTCATTTAGCCTTATCGAACAGTATTATATTGTTCTAAAAAAAGAACAGTTTTATTTTTTGTAAAACATATTTTTCTTAATAAAATGGATATATTCATTCTAGAAACCTGACACTAACACTCTGATCTTGCAAATAAAAGAGAAAATATTATACCACTCGATGATTTCATTTGATATGTCTAGATCATAATTAATTGCCAAGATTGATCGTGGTTATATACAAAATACACAATTATAATCATAAGATAGAAATATAAATCGCGTATTAAATCAAATACAGTTCGATCTGCTCCACACAATTACACAGGAAATCTAGTTTGTCACTGCTCCGAGCTTTATTGTTATCAACTGTCACGCAGTTGCGTGAATCGATTCTTTTGTTCCGATCAGCATATGTGATCGAGGCATCAATCCTGGTCATATCATTTTATCGAGCAAGTACGTAAGATTAACAGGGAGATCGACACAATTCATTATCACCCGTGCAATGCTTTAGAAGAATATGTAAACCTCTATTACAGCCGAAGTGTCTGGCACGCAAAAGCTGGACATCTTTGGTGTGTGCGTAGTACTAACAAGACATGCATGCACCAACTCCCATCTATCTATATAATTCTTCCAAAAAGGCTCAAAAGGATATTGGTGTGAGGCACAGCTTGTGCCGGTGTTATCTCCAGCTTTGAATCGTGTTCCACATACCAGCAGTAAGGAATATAATATATATATCAAGATTAAAACAAGTCAAAATATTTTATAAATGAGTTTTAATAGTAGAGTTTCCAAACATACCTCTATCTATAAGGACCACTTGAATGCGTTTTCTAGTGCATGCCGATTTACCATCAAACACACCGTATGTACTTAGTATGCCTTTGCTATCTCCCAAATTAACAAACACCCATATTAAATCTAGTATTTCTTTTTTTTCCTAAAATATAACACATACTAAGATACACCGTATATGTGATTATGTGTACTACTATCTATATACTATATTATTATATATTGTAGAATGGATGTAGTATTCATACATGTTGACAAGTTCACTTGAGGAGTCTTGCCATTTTAACTACGCTTAGGCCTTGTTTAGTTTACGAAAAGAAAATTTTTGGGTGTTACATTGGACGTTTGACCGGATGTCAGAAGGGGTTTTCGGACACGAATTAAAAAACTAATTTCATAACTCGCGTGGAAACCGCGAGACAAATTTATTAAGCCTAATTAATCCATTATTAGCACGTGGATGTTACTATAGCACTTATAGCTAATTATAGATAAATTAGGCTCAAAAGATTCGTCTTGCGATTTCTATTCAAATCGTGCAATTAGTTTTTTATTTTATCTATATTTAATGTTCTATGTATGTATTTAAAGATTCGATGGGATGTTTTTAAAAAAATAAATTTGAAAACTAAATAATGCCTTAATTCTGAAGGGATGACTGTTAGTATCAAATTTCCCCCAAAACAAGAAAAGTGACTACTACATCGTTCCAGAAAGTTCTTTTGGGTCGAGTTGTCTAAAAACAGAGCACGTCCAGGTCCATCACGGATCCATCAAACTAGCTTGTGGAGTACTATGGGCTCGTTCACTTTGCTATCATTTTTAATCTTACCAAGTTTTGGTATTACCAAATTTTAGTAAAGTTGCTAAAATTTTGACAAGATTGTCAAATTTTGGTAAGATTTCATATCTACTTACTAAAATTTAGCAATAAACTAAACGTAGCCAAAATTTTAGCAACTTTATCAGAAAATAGTATGTTTGAAAATAACATCAAAGCGAACAGGGCCTAAGATTATCCTCTCTTTTCTTTTTTGACACAATCCAAAGCTCAAGCTCATCCACGAGATCGTTCACCGTTCACCCAAGGTGACACCCCGCTGTACGCGCGGCCGCGTACGTGTCCGCCTCGCCCGCCGCACAGCTCAACACCGTCTCGCAGCCATACGAGCTCGCTCGCTCGCTCGCTCGTCGTCAACCGCGTGACCGGCCCCGACTTGTCAACTCGTCGACACCGCGACGCACGCACTCTCCCACCCTCCCTCCCTCCCGCTGACCCCGCACCGAGTCGCGGCTGCACCGGGCAGCGACTCCCCCCGTACGCCCACCGCTTCGCGCAGCGCAGGTGTCGCGCAGCGCGGCATCCGCGCCCACGCCCACGCCCCACGCGCAACACGTACTACGTACGTCTCCCCGCGCGCGCGGGGATGGAGGAGAGCGAGCGCGAGACGCTCGTGACCGACCGACCTGGCGCCGTAGCGCGCGCGGGCGCCTCCTACCCGCGAAAAAAAGTCAGACGCATGGGTGGAGACTGGAGAGGATGGGGAGATGGGCGGGGGCGGACGCGGCAGGCCGTCGGCGCGCGGTAAGACGTCGCGGTCGCCACATTTGACTGGCCCGCGGCCGCGGCACAACGCGAGGAGAGAGGCCAGGGCCACACACGACTGCCCGAGGAAAAGGTTTTCGTGCTGCGAGTGTGACCTCCCCTGGTTGGCGATCGATGCGTACGTGCCGCGCGCTGTTGCGGCTGCACCGTACGCGTCAAACAGCAAAGCGAACCGCTTGATCTGCACGCACGCACGCACGCACGGCCTCCCCCGCTCGCCGAAGCCGAACAGCTCGGGTTTTCAACCGAAAGCGTGGACGTTTCATGAGAACGTTTCAACCGCGGCGTGAACGGCTGGTTGCTGTGGCCTGCAGTGTCACCTTGTGCCTGCCTGGTGCTGCGTGCCTGCGTTTCAGCCACGGGTTGATTTGATGGCTCGGCCGCGACGGCCGGCAGGAGCACCGGCTGAAAGCCTGGGACTCGCAGGGAGCTGGATTTCATTTAACTTTTGGCTTTTTTTTAATAAAACTTACTTGTTTAGATTAAAAAATTTTGGCAAAACATCACATCAAATATTTGGACACATGTTATGGGAGTATTAAATGTGAAAAAAAAACCAATTACACAGTTCGCATCTAAATTGCGAGACGAATCTTTTGAGCGTAATTACACCATAATTTGATAATGTGATGCTACAATAAACATTTGCTAATGACGA